AGTAAAGCCCAGTTATTTGAACGTGATAGGCCAGACTTTATATAAGGGAATGGGTTACTCTCAGTTTTGATCCACTAAGCCTACTCCTCTATTCAGAAAAACACACCATCGAGTTTTGTGACGTCAAGGTTTAGAAACAAACTGTCTTGTGTTTAGATTTACAAAATTTGCAACTGGCAGGAGGTACGCACAATTCGTTCTATTTTTTTCTTCCGCTTTTTTTGATCTGAATGTGTTACTGTGATGTTAATATAACATGTTTAGGTCAATTTCATACTCTGCTATTTTATCATTAAATCGGCAATATATAGTCTATGAGCCTAAATTTTATATTACAGCTTTGAGCATAATAATAACTAACTCCTACCAAACGAGTTATTCCGAATATGAGTGATTAGCCGTGTTTTTGTCAACACTCATATTATAACTAGTTGAATCACTCCATGATATTTCGTCAGAGTTAATTGTACCAACCATGTTCTAACATTTCATGAGGATAAAAGGATGGCTTTGGAGGAATTTCAAGACTTTCAACTTTTCCTTCAATCATCTCTACAACCTTGCTCATTGTTGGACGATCACATGGTTTCAATTGTATACACCAAAGTGCAACTATGAACATTTTTCTTATGAGAATTTTATCCATTCTGAAGCACCTTCCATGTCAATATCTTTGTCCTTCTGTAAATTGATCATGGATCCAAACAGGGAAAAAGATTTTGACCTTGAATGTTCTGCATGAGGATTTGAATTTTTGTCTCCTACTTGCCATTTCCATCAAAAGCATTCCAAAACTATAGACATCTGCTTATGTGAAACTCACCAACATTTTTGTAGAATAATTCTGGAGCCATGTAACCCAGTGTTCCTCTTATTGCAGTCAAAATAATGGATTTGTCTTTTGTAGGATACAATTTGAAAAGTCCAAAATCTGAAAACTTTTTGGAGTAAAGTTATCATCTAAAAGAATATTTGAGGCTGATATCGAAATGTTAAAATCGGCACATCACAGCCTCGTGTGAATTGCGATCCCATGACGCAATTCAGAGATATTTCATATATCTTCTCGTAACTCAAAGGAACACTTCCTTCTTTAGAGAAAAGAAATTTATCCAATGACCCATTAGGCATGTATTCATAAATTAGACCACGCTTTTTTTCCTTCAACAAATATCCAATAAGACCTACTACATTCACATGATGTATTCTCCAATTGTAGCTACTTCATTAACAAGTCTTGACCATTGTCTTTGGATATGCTCAACATCTTTACTGCTACATCTAACCCACTTTGAAGCTTTCCTTTGTAAACAGAACCAAAACCTCCTTCTCCTAATTTCACTTTGAAACCTTTAGTCATTTTCTTCACTTCTCTGTACTCATATCTAATGGGATTTATATGTTGTCTAGCAAAAAATTTTCAATGTTTTCATACACTGAAAAATGTCTACGTCGCCATTTATGGATGAATATCCATAGAAAAAGTGAGAATCCAAACAAATATCTAGTTGCAATTAATATTGGTAGAATATATTGACCAATCAATTCTCCCACATCATTTGATCCTTCGGCATTTGTTATTCTATTGAATAATCCTGTCAAGTTAACTTTCATCAAAATTTAAAGTGCGTGAAAATAAAATGAATGAAAAAGTCTAATAAATAATTTGGTTCATGGAAAAAACCAATTGATATATTGTAGAATTTAACAAAGGAGAAATAGATAACCTTTATTACCTTTTATGATGCTTTTAACAAAACCTACAAAAACAAAAGATTGCTTATATAAGACAATAAATATAAAAAAAAATTGTATTGAGATCGCGTCACGTGAGAAAACAATAATATAATATAAGAATAAGATAATGATAAAAGAAGAAAAAACAAACATAATGAAAATCAGTAGTTTTTGGCTTCTTTGAATTTCTAAATAGAATAAGTTTTTGTTTTTATTTTATAAGATTTTTTTTTCTACTTTATATATGATTTTAGTCATAAATCTTAATAACAATAGTTGAGAGAACTTATTTTTTCAGCTTAATCTACCTTATACCAAATTTTAAATTTATGTTTTGTTTGAATACTTTTACATTAGTTGCGGGAGCTCAATAGATAAAATTATGAAGTTTTAGCTTTGGAAAAACTATAAAGTAAAGGAAGGTAGTAAATTGGAACTTAAGTTCCATGAAGTTCTCTATTACATTTATGTTAGGCGAGCGTACAATGTAACTAGAAAAAGTCTTAGAAAAATATCATATTTTGAATTTTTTTTGGAAGGGATTATTTGTTTTATGAGTGAATGATGTAAATGTAGTGGCACTTGGGAGGAGTACTACATTGAGTTGATGTTAGGTGGTGTATGGAGAGAGATTTTGTATAAAGATTATATTGGTTTTGCTAGTATCGAACTTACGTTAAGAAAGATATCTAGTTATGAGAGTCGAATGAAAGTGCAGAGCTTTGATAACGTTTGAATTTACCATTATTTGTATTACTATTTTGATACTAAAATAACCCTTTTTAACTTTGAAGCTTGCTTAAACTCTTGTTTTAATTGAATTTGGTAAATAAGTGAAGAGAGGTTATACTTTATGAATTTGATCACTAATTCCCTCAATTTTGTAGGTTATTAGTATGGTTGGAAGAGGAGCAAAAGTATCAAGGAGTTGGAACCCAGGATGGACAGCATAAGCACTAGGAAAGAAGGCTGAAAGAAAGCTGATCTAGTATGCAATGGTATGTTCTAGTTTGGGGTGGATGTTTATGGTATGATGCATAAAATTTTGGGAGTCAAATATAAAATGTGAAACTTTGAGTGGGAGAAATATGAAGCTTTGAAAGTGTAGGGGAATTGTCATCTTAGACTAATTGACGTTGAGGACCCTCTGTTGAGGTGCACTTAGCGCCAGCTGAGCATGTGGGAGGACTCATGAATGAAGTCACACGTGCCCTCCTAAGGGGCGCTCAACGCTAGCGCTGCTGACAACACAATTTGGGCCTTTTTAGGCTCAGCGTCATTAGGCCCAACCAACCCCCTTAACCCTAAAAGTCTCGTCCAAACCCTTACTTTTCACTGTCACACTTTCCAGCCACTCAAGCCCTAACCCTTAGAGTTCTTTCTCACTTTCCTCTTCCTTCCCACCATCAAAGATCATCCCTTTCACCTAGATTTGGTTCCATACTTCAAGATTAGGGTGGTTTCAAGTTGCTGCCATTGTTCTCTACCCAAGCCCTAAGTTTTTCAACTCTAAGTTTTTCAACTCTTTTGTGCATCTTTCAAGCTTTGCATCTCCACTCAAGTAGGCATTTTCATTTTGTTCTTAAAGCTTTTGATTTGTTGATGATGTTTTGATTCTATGCATGATTTAAATGTTGATATTGTTGTTTGCACTGATTGGGATGGAATTTTGACTGATATTTTTTAGAAAAGACACTGCATTGAATGAAAGAATCATCAAATTACCATGTTAAATTTATTGTCAGGATGTTGAGGGCCCCTTGAGTGGCACTCAAGTCGGATGGGTCTGTATGTCCTCTGATTTTAGGGATTTTGCTAGGTTATTTTGAGGTGCAGGTGGCGCCGAGGGCCTCTCTAAGGGGTGCTCAGCGCTAGAAAAGCTGATTTTGTGATTGTTTGATTTGTGCTTTAATTTTCATAGGCTTAATGGTTGATGTTCTCTATGATGCATTTGGGAATATGAATTATGTTTTGGCATATGAGAGCATATATGTGACCTTGGATGAGTAATGGGTATAATTGGAGTGTTATGTTGCTTACTCATTAGTATTTTGTGTTGTGTATAATTGTGGTGCAGATATGGCCTCATCCTCAAGCTCTAAATGTATAAAGACAACTACTACACAAACAGAGAAAGGGAAGAAGAGGAGAGAACAGGCTTATTCCAACAAGTTCTTCTCCCATATACATGAAAGGCATTTTGAAACGGTTCAAAACCGTAGGTTACTGATGGAGAGGAAGGTTGGGTTGATACCTCTCATGGCCCCTCAGTTTGAGAGGGAGTTGGGAAGAAGGCAATGGGAGCAGTTGGCTTCTTATGTTGCACCTGCCAACATCTCAGTAGTGAAAGAGTTTTACACCAATGCAAGGTCCTTTGTTGTTGATCGAGAGATGTATATGAGTTATGTTAGGGGTAAAAGGATCCCCTATGATGCTGACACCATCAACACTTTCCTGGGTACTGAGTGAACATGAGAACAATGTTAGTTTGCTTCTTCAATGGATGAAGACATCAACTATGCTGAAGTGAAGAGGACTTTGTACATTATAGGGGGTCATTTTCAGAGAAATAGGCAGAATGTGCCTATTCATATTAAGAGGTCATTCCTTACCCCCTTGGCTAAATACTGGATGGCATTCACACATGCCAACATTTAGTCCTGCTCTCATGTGTCGGATATCACCACACATAGAGTCGTCTTCATCTATTGTGTCCTTAGAGGATTGAAAATTAATGTAGGGCAGGTGATAGCAAATGAAATCAAGCAGTGTGCCCATGCTCTAAGTAACAATTCTCCTTTAGGGCACCCATCTCTCATTACACACCTTTGTGAGATAGCAGGGGTGAACACATCTACTCCTCCATTTGAGAGACCGAGGAAGGAGATAGATGCCTCATGTTATACCTAGTACTACATGCTGGATGAAGAGGGATTGCCAGTATCAGCACCTCCGCCTCCCAGGGTCCATAGAAGACCCCCGCCTGCTCAGCAAGATCCATTTCAGATGGGAGACATGCACATGGCATTAGTGAATGCTAGGTTTCATGCATTGTATAGAGGACAACAAGCGCTATTGAGGAGCATGACATCTGCCTTTCCTGAGCATCAGCTCATGTCTCGGGACGATTTTTCAGCCTACGTTGCATGGCCTGGGGACCAGGCCCAATCTAGTGGAGGAGGTGGGACGTCTGGAGGAGCTGCAGCCATGGATGAAGATGATGATGAGGAGGATGCAAATGAGGATGAGGATGCAGATGAAGATGAGGAGGAGGGTGAAGATGAAGATGATGATGATGAAGACTCAGAGGACAGTAGAGGATGATGAGACACCAACATTTACTGATGGAGGCTGCTAGATCAGGATGTGAATTTGTCTTTATTTGTATGCATGTGAACTTTGATTATTTTGTTTTTAATTGAGGTTTAAGTCATGTACTTAGTTAAATGAACAGTGTGTTGCTGCAATGGTTTAGTATGAAGTGATAAATTGTTTGTGTGATGATGAGAAATATGATTGTCATGTGTTTGCCCTATTGAATTGTGATTGATGTTGAGTAATGATTGATTTAGCCTTTAAGCATAGATGGTGGTTGCTCTTAATTGTTAAGATAGATGCATGGTTTCAATTGTGATTAATATGTCAGGCATGATGTTTATCAAATTGTGGAACCTTGAGTTAACCTGTGAGAGGTTGTTGTGCCTAGAGTGTTTATTGATTGAATGTTATTGCTTTGGAATCACAATTGATTTTGCCTGAGTTTCTCTATTTGAACAATTTGCTTGCTTGTTACAAATGATCAAGGCCATATGTTCTTATCCCTTGTAAGCCAATGCCAAAAATTTCAACCCAAAAATTTTGAAAACTTGTTTTATCCTTTGAACCTTAAGCCTAATGTGAAAAAAAAAATACCTTTAAAATCCTTGCCTTGAGTTGAGTAGAGTATGCATGTGTGGTATAGGAGAATGGTTCAAGTTTGGGGTTGTTAAAAGTGAAAAGCGCATTGAGCAAAGTGAATAAAGCAAGATAAAAGCAAAATAAGAGAAAGGCAAGCTCAATGCATAAAAGTTGGGATTAAGTTGAGAAGTGGTTTCTCAAGTGAAAATTAGAAAGGGAGATTAATGCTAAATTATGAAGTAATTGTTCACTCTCTTAACTCAAGGAACTTTGTGTATCCAGAAAAATCAATTTTCTTCTTAGCCCAGCCACAATACAAGCCTTAAAATGTCCTTGTGATGATAACTTGCTTGTAAATGTGTTTGATGTGTTTAAATGAAAGGCAAAGTTGAATTGTGTGACATTGTGATGTGTTTAAGTGAAACAGACACCTCAATATACACCGTTGAGCTTGAGTGAAACACTTTCTTTCTTTGGTGAAGAATGGTTCCATGCACTATGGGATAATATTTTGCTTGGTTGTCGATCACTCATAAGGCTTTTGCATCTGTGTGTATTATGTGTTATGTGAGCACCATAGTTGAAGCTTGGTTGGCTAAGACTTCATTATATCTTCACTGATCTTTCTATGATGGGTAGACATGAATGATTTACTTGTCTTAGAAGAGAATGTTTTTAGTGTGCTAGACCATTGTAGTATGGCTATTGTGTTTAGGCCAAGTTACGTTTTGCTTGAGGACAAGCAAAGTTTCAAGTTTGGGGTGTAATAATGGTTGAATTTACTGTTATTTGTGATGCTATTTTGATACTAAAATAACCCTTTTTGACTTTGAAGCTTGCTTAAACTCTTGTTTTAATTAAACTTGGTAAATAAGTTAAAAGATGTTATACTTTATGAATTTGATCACTAATTCCCTCATTTTTGTAGGTTATTAGTATGGTTGGAAGATGAGAAAAAGTATCTAGTTGTTGAACTCAGGAGAGACAACATAAGCATTGGGAAAGAAGGCTGAAGAAGGACCGTAGGGTGCCTGATTGCCCTTTTTAGGAGCCCTCAGCGTCAGAAGTCTCACAAGGATGCATAGGCCCCCATTTAGGGCGCTAAGCGCCATTATCCTCGTAAGCA